TACCTATAGTGAATTATCACTGTTGAAAACGAAACAGCATGATATCTCTATCGCGACTAAAAGGACAGGCACAAAACAGACAGGGCGAGGCGATGGATTTTTGTTGTGTCTTTATATAAGTGATTCAAAATAGACCAGCACTAAAAATGTACTTGGTATTATGTGTGTGTGGTGTGTTGGTATTATGTATTACATCTTTTCAATTCCATTTTTGGGCATTTATCACTTTCAAAAACAGATTAATCAACAGATTCATCACTTTCTAAATATAAGGATGTATGTATATAAAATAATAATGCAATGATTACTGGGACAGTTTCGTTATATCCAGGTTCAACATTCACGGAACAGTTACCAATGGGTTCAAAATACACTGTTAAAATGTGGTCGCCGTCCTGTTGGAAATCACGCACTGCGTCTATTTCGACGTTCAGAAAACGGTCAAATGTGTCGTATTCAATGTTTAGCAGACAGGAACTAAAAACCACTTCAGATCGACCTTGAAATACTGAAATAAAAAAATCATCATTATATACTGTTGTGGCAAGATTATACCCATTTCAAAATAAATATGAACGCGTTTGAAACATTCACTTAAAAGTAATTCGTAAATGATTTAAACATTTGAAGTACTGTAATCGTTGTAACATATGGCACATTTTAACACAGTAAATCTATCATTATATTGATGTGAATAACATTTTGTTTTCGAAAACAAATAAAAGAGAGGGCATTTAAAAAGAAGATAAACCATGGGTTGATGAATATTTAATACTAAATTAAATCATCAAATAAAATGGTATATTGCAAATAACAACGGATTTGCTACCAGTCTGGTTGCTTCGGCTAAACTCAGCTAAACCGCTAAAAGAAGTTTGGAGGATACAAAAACTTAGCCGAACGAATAATCCAAAAATAAACACAGATAGTATTACAATGTCGCTTCGGTTAATCTAAAATATCAAAATATACGACACATCTTCCATGGAGAGGTATTACTTTTTCCGATACCACTGTATACAGGCAAGGACAACGCCCGGACATCTGTATACAGGCAAGGACAACGCCCGGACATCTGTATACAGGCAAGGACAACGCCCGTACATCTGCATACAGGCAAGGACAACGCCCGGACATCTGCATACAGCCAAGGACAACGCCCGGACATCTGCATACAGGCAAGGACAACGCCCGGACATCTGCATACAGGCAAGGACTACGCCCGGACATCTGCATACAGGCATACATGCAAGTCGAGCCAACATCCAAGGCAGATGGGGTAACGCTCGCTAGTGGGACGTAGATATAAATATGAAGAAAACTAAAGTCATGATTTTTCTTGAATTTCACAATAAACAATAAAATTATAACAAGATTCGAAACTGTTTAACTCCAAATGGTAAATTCAATTGAACCATTCAAACAAAGACATTTATTTAAACATGAATATAATTTTGAAAATTTAAAAGACATTAAATTACTGCCAATATATATCGTCTAATCTCAAATCTCTGAGTCGGGGTGAAGGTGGAACCCTAACAAATGAACACATTTTATTAGGATTATAAACAGCATCTTTTTCGAAATATTTCAAAAATACAATTTACGAACATGAATCACCAAATAAATATAACAGGCCTAGGCAAGTTCGGCTGTATACTAACGTAGCAGAAAATATTAGGCATTAAGAACCAAAACTGACGATTCTACGTGGACGTCGTCTGGTTGCCATGACGCTGACCTTTGTGAACACAGTTCGCTAATGGTGATCGTAGATTCACGCAGCCCTACCGTAACATTCTGTCATTATTGACAGATGTTTAAAATTAACCAAATAATAGAAAAGAGATATTACACACGAACATCTTTATTGTTCAACAAATATCAAAGTAACCACAGCGTAGTAAAACAGTAGCTGAATGGGATGGATGGACACATTTTTTCGCGTCGAAAATTGATTGAATGAATTTATTTGAGACAGAAACGTTTTGACAATTTGTCTTTAATTAAAAGTGATTCTGCAGAGCCTAGGTATAGTTTGAGCATTTTAGTTCCATGGTAGCACGGGCAACGCGATACAAAGCGTGGCATGCGGGCGGTGGCACATGTTAACGTTAACTACACTACACACTACATCAACCACTATTTTCCGACTTCTTATTGTGTAAAACATCATGTAGTATTATGATTTTAAAACGCATAAATAACAGTCAATTTATTATCGAAATATATATACAAGATAAAACACACAGGGCACGCAATGCTACCACGAAAGGGGTGTTTACAAAATATCAGACCAACTGTACGCCTTCTCAACTCATCTCGCAACAATAATTATTTATTTCAAGCACACTGAGCGATGGTTTCAATAAATAAATATACAGTCTATAAATAGGTACGAATGTTTTTTGTTTAATTTACAGCAATTTCTAGCAGAATTACGAATTTAATATTCTAACTGACCAATCAGATCTCTGGGAATTAAGTTTCTTAACCAACGTTTCGCGTTACGGATTCTTATATTATCTATATACTTTTAATAAAGACATACGAAGAAAGGAAAATAAAGTACGAATACTTGTGTTGTGTTGAAAACATTTACAATTCTGCAATACTGCTGTTACTTATTTACAACGTATTGAAAATGCCTAAATATTTTTTTCTGGAAAGAAATGTAACACGTTTTAACAACTTTCCGTGGTAGAGGGCGCACTTCGTTCTGGAAAGTTGTCGTGAGGTCGAAGAACTATTAAAAAAGGGTTACCAGCGAGAGGAGGGGGTGATCTATCAAAGAAAGTATGATTAAATGAAGTGGAAGGGCCACGGTTTGATAGTGTTGTATTACTTCCTCTGTGGCTCCACGGTCACACAGCCCGGGGTCAAAGTTTGCATAAACGAATGAAAGTATCCCTGCTCTCAGGTGTTTTTTTCTCATTTATACAATCCATGGAAATCATCGGTTTCCTGTGACATTGGAGAACGAGTATTACATGACATTTGACAATAATATCTACGCTGATGCTTTGAAAATTCGGTAAATGTACCCCGGGTAGGCATAAGCACAGTAGCGTGGCCAAGCACCGAAACAGTTTACCCGTGACGGTTTAAATTACGCAGATCGAGGGTTCAGTGACACTGAAACTGTTGCGTTCACTTTTACAAGTTTTCTGCTATAATTGCAGCAGATAAACTGGTTATGACAGCGCTACAAGGGTCGGCAAGGTGGATTTTCGTAACCTGTATTCAATTGTTTTTATTTTTCGTAATTTAAATAAATAAAAAACGTAAATTCGTAGACATGGGCAAGGTGTTAAATGAAATCAGCTATTTTATACGTTCGTAACTCAAAGATCTTATTTTTTGTAAGCGTATAGAGAATTTTCCAAATTAAATGTCGTAATTTATACCTCCAATTTTGATTCTTAACACAAATTATCAAAAAATATTATAAAAATGTTAAATGAAATTAGGAATTTGCATTACCTGTAAAGTGTGAAAACCTATTTTTTACAGAAAATAAAACTTTCATTTTATTCCTGTAAAAACGTACAATGCCGTTCGTATCCTGTAACCTGTACCAGATACCCTCCTTGTACCCCCTCAAAATAATAAAAATAATGAACTAATGCGTGACATAAAGTGTGCTTGAGCCCATTATGGATTGAGTGTCGTCCGTTATTATTTAAATATTAAGATCAATCGATATATTTCAGTGATCGTGCAGATTCCAGTTTGCCGGCCGCAAGATAAACATATTATTTTGGCTGTGCACATTAACGCTATCCTATATATGATGTAATTAGTATGGACTGAAGTTATGGTAGAAAATATTTTAGAAACAGTTTGAACTAACCGCGCGCTTTTCACTAATAAAGGTACACTTTCTGAACTACATTGATCGTTAGATAGAATCAAACATGGACCGGTATATTCGTAGCTATGCTGTACTGTTAAACAGACAGGTATGCCAGTACCTTTTTGTGTCTTCACTCTAATCGTGCATGACATCGGCACTGATGCCCGCACGTACACGTGGCTTGGCAGTTGTTGGTCTTCACTGACAGTGACATATGGCGGGTCAATCTGTTGAAGAAAAATACACATCATAAACAACGGATTTTATTTTTTACCGTTTGTCTTTTTCTAAATACAAAATGATCTATGTACAAGAGGCCCAGTAAACATGGTGATGATAATAATGCGTGCGCATACTGCATATATTACTTGTTATTGGATGTTACAAAGTACAAAGTCGTGAAACAGAATACGTAGTAGCCTAAATACACATACAGGCAAAGAAACCAGAAATGTTTTTCGGCAATACTTGAGAATACTGTAATAGTTCACTCATGGCTCGCAGTCACCAGTGAAAACTTACTATTATTTCAATTCCTTGTTCCTGGCTTTCTCTTGGCGGGCTGGCGATATCTGAACCGTAGTATTTGCTGCTGACAAGGCATTTAACCTGAAACCAACACACCAAATCAGGATTACCGTCATAACTACTACTATCACAACAATTACCACAGAGACTACACCAGCACTATATCCCCCGTACTCATCTTCCTCTTCCTCGTCGTTACCATCTTACGTAACCCACCATTACTACTTATCAATACTTGCCTTTGATCCAAGTGTATAGATATCTTCGTCTAGGGTATCATCTGTGTCACCATCTGTTAATGTGGTTTCCTTAACGACTTCATTGTTGACAATCCAGTGCGTGGTATGTATTATTGATGCATTACTCTCGCCATGTATGGAGCATAATAAGTACGCATAGCCACTAGTCTCATTATAAAACGCTTTGATTGTAGGATCGCTCTCAATTTTCGGATAGTTGTCTGTTGAAATTAACGGAAGTGATGTCATCAAACAATTTTGAATAAACAGTTTCAGATTGCGACTATCATGTTACTATTTCGGGGAAATTCTTCTCTTGTCTCCGGGTTCTCCAACACGTGTCAGGGGGAAATTCTCGTCTGTCTCTATGTCAAGTCTGCTTGAGGTACCCGACCGGGAAAGTCACTTAAGCTCTACAGTCAAATACACGCGCACAACGAAATACGTTTCAATAGCTAGTCATTAGCCACATCGAGAACGCCTCGAGGCGAACTGTCTCGTCGGGGTCTCTCTGCCCAGCACTGACCAAGACTCTCTCGCCTCGTGGAGTTCTCTCTCTCTCTCTCTGACCAAGGACTTAGACTGTTAATTACTTATCAAAACTCAACCAATTACAAATCAGTTAAAAGACATAGGGCGTACCCTTCACACATTCAACTTACACATAGCCAATCAAACTAAGTACTGGACATGTCATATCTTTTGATTAATCGTTCACTATATTACTAACTGCGAATACCCAACTGTCAGAAATAGTAGTCCGGATGGCAACGGTTATATCGTAATTAGTTCCAAATCACTGAGTCAAGTTCCGTCCAGGACCTCGCATGAGCCTAAATGATGACAGATATAACACAGCCATTCACTAGTAATCAGCTAAATAAGTCGGTCATCAGATACGCGAAAACTAATTCATGACATAACCACCAACGAATTAGAAAAGTTGGTGTTGGCAATGTCACATTAATACATGGATTGGTGTGGCAAGTATGAAATGGCAACTTACCAGAACAGCCAGGCTGAACTCCATTTGTTGACACATGGCCCGGAGGACATGGTTCCAGATCTATAAGTGATGTAATGAAAATAATTATTTAATGAGATAATTTTTGACTGGTTCATGAATAACATTTTCAATTCAAGACAAGTTTTTTTGTTTTTGTTTTTTTTTAAACTAGACATTCACCCAAGTGGGATGCTTTCATGTTTACGACTTGAACGCCATTTTTATAAAATTAAACAAACATAAATAATTCTCTTATCGAATCAAAAAATGTTAACTTTATCAAGTTCTCTGCTTCGCTACATCTATAGTATTCATCGCATATTTGTCCACTGTAAACATGGTTGTCTATCCGTGGGATTGTGAGACAAAAATCCTGAATGAGTAGAGTTTTCGAACTGAACTAGCGCTCATAATGTTCAAACACATTTGATGCGATCAAATTAATGGTCCGTGTAACCCATTGAATATTACAATCGTGGAATATACCTTTGCAATAAGCCGCTTGACAATCATCCAGTGGTTCTAGATAGTACACATTGAATTCGCCACAGTTCATCACATCAATGATTTTGTTACGATCACAGCAGTTGCCTTCGGCTAAAATAACAACAACAAATTAATGTTTCGTTAATAGCAATGTAAGCCGAAATAATTTATTTCTAATCATAAGGTACAATAATAATTGCATTTTAACAATCACAGCGACGCTATTGTAGAATTATTCAGTTTTTCAAATGCGTCGAAGCAATGAAATATTAAAATTAAGTACAACGTTTCAACGAGGTCTGCGTTGTAGTTAAGACAGTTGACACTTTCAAGGTGGTATAGAGTATCTTATCACGTAGATTACAGCTACAAAAAAGTAGGTTTTACTATAATAGCGCCAAGTACGATACGTGGTTTCCTCTAAGCCAGTCAGCTTTGAGTACACTTTGATGTGTACATGTTTTGTGATGTTATTTTACCCCATCTCAGTCAAGGTTGCAGTGCCAAGAAGACGAATTTAATGTGGTCATTATTATTTTTCAGAATAACGATAAAGTCGGGCATGTGAGGTCTACTCCGGATATGCTACCAGTAATCTCTTTTGATCTTCAGTTTGGCATTTGTTTGATTGCTGTTATGTGATACATAGAAACTGTAAGTATGTAGGCGAATTCTGAAATATAGGTAGTGCAATTACATAACCATAAACAACGCTGTAATATTTTTATATGATTGTGATGAATTAGCTACATAGACAGTGGCTCGCCAATGCGGATCGACTTTGAATATTTATTTCATTCATTATGTAATACGGTATTATTCCTCGTCAGATAATCAACATGCAATGACGCGTAAACAACGAAGCGTGTGGGATTCTGCCGTCCCACAGTTCGTCATGCACGCGCGTCAAGGATGCGTTCATTGTTCATTGTGATTTCTTATTGTGGTTAGAGTCAGCGATAGACTTCCTGCCTGTCCCAAATAAAATACGCCAATTTCATATGTTAAATCCGCAAATAACCCGTTGCCACGGAAGTAAAATGTTCTTCCCAATAATTTTCAAGAAGCGCCGGAAATTCGAATGTGCTCCCACTGTGGTGAGACAGGACGGCAATTATCAAACATAAAGAAATAATTTATAACTGGCGAATGACGCCGTAAATGTAACAACCACGCTATTGTGTCCTGCGCTGTATAATTGCTTATGAATTATATATGTACAATTCAGTTAACAATTACCAATTGGTAAACCAACCTTCGTTTATGCATATAGTTGCATTCGTACATATATTAACTTCAGGTAGGGTATCATTAATCCATTCCGGGAACTTCGTTTCACAGTACCTAGTGTGTACGCATGAAGTTGGTATATCGTCGCCGGCTACAATACTTAATTTATACCATCCTTCAACAAACCCAGCATCACATATATATTCATCGAAGTCGGCACTACGAAACGGGTTTTCCATGTATATTGCTGAATCACATGGGTCAACTATATCTACAGAATATAATAACAAAGTGAACTTGGGAATACAACTGTGTATTCCGTACGTGCGCTGCAATCTACAAGATTATCCATGTATGTGTGCGAACTAATCGGCGTGTATGTCATGAATTTGTTTTTGCGTTTCTGTTGACCGACTTAATTAGCTTATTATTAGCGAATTGCTGTGTTATGTCTGTCATCGTTTAGACCTATTTGAAGTTTTGGACGGAACTTGGCTCAGTGATTTGGAACTAATTACCAGATAACCGTCGCAATTCTGACAGTTTATATCCATAGTTATTAATGTAGTGAACAATTAATCAAAAGATATGACGTATTCAGTGCTTAGTGTGATTGGCTTTATGATTGAAAGTTACGCCCTAGAGTCTTTTTTCTGTTTTGTAATTGGTTAGAGTTTTGAAAAGAAATAAAGAGAGTTTGAGTTGGTCTTGAGGAGTACACCAGAACAGACGCAGTCCTGGAGAGTCTAGAGCAGTCCTGGAGAGCCTTGGGGCGAGCCTTGACGCAGTCTAAGAGAGTCTTGGGTCAGCCTTGTGATAGTCTTGGGGATTTTTCCCCAAGGCGCTGTGTCTTATAGAGTGCTCGATTGACCGACTAAGACGAGAGTTGAAACGTATTTCGTTGTGTGCGTCTTATTTGACTGTAAAGTATAAGTGACTTTCCCGATCCCGTACCTCAAGGGGACGCGATAGAGAGACGAGACGAGATTCCCCCCTGGCACGTGTGGAGAACCCCATCAGAGAAGAATTTACCTCTGATAGTATTGCTTAGGAAGCAACTTATATGAAACATTTCAAGGCTGTATGCTATGTTGATATACAACAGCTTTATATGGTGTGTATATACATAACGTGTCCAGTTTGTGTCATGAAAGAATTAACATTCTGACTAATTATTTGCCATATGAATAGGTCGACTCGGACCGAGACAAGATGGCATTATTGCATAATCTTCTAATCGCATAAAATGATGCCGCATGACATGCCTACGCTTACGCTTTTGTGCTATTAATCTTTACAAACGTTCAGTTTTTCCCATTATTTTGTTCAGGTTATTGCAGCCACTCGTCTACATGGGTACGACTGACAATCAATAACACTGTACTAACACTGATTAGATGCAAGGTAACGTAGAAACATAACAGTCTATTTCAACTTGTAGTATATGTCATAAAAAGCTTTAAAACACACAGGAAAGCAGACATCAACCTAGCCTGGAATTGCATCTGCTTTATTGGAATTACAACACTTTTGTATTTACAATTTGTGTAAGCACATATGTAATGAGATTAGTGCCAAAATTAAATATTTTCTAATAATTTCTTCATGATTATTTTATGTAATCATTATTTTATAATTACATCATTATTGTGTAATTATTATACCATTATTATTTCATTGTGTTTACATTAGTTTATCATTATTGTAAAATTATATACAATTATTGTTTCATTATTTCATTAGCCGCCTATTAGTTCTTCTAACTATGAAATATAGGATGATACTTACGTACTGTTATGATAACTAAAAGTTATCTTAACAACTGGTTATTGACTTGTCAGTGACCCCAACTCGGATTAAAATCTTGTGGATGGGGGGATTACCTCCAGAGGGACGGTCCCCCATCCCTGGAATAGCGTAATAATAACTCAGAACAATTAATAACTTAACTAAATTGTCACTATGAATCATCAATTAAACATTGCCCAGCCACAAACCTACCCAGTTTAAATAATCCTTCAGACTGGTAAGAGAGGTCTTTCAGGTAGTGATTAACAAATGTATTGGGACTTTTCCAATATCCTGACTCCAATACATTGGCCAAAGTAGCCCCGTGTGAGAATGCCACGGAGTTACCTTAGTTGCTGAATTCTGACTGATTGAATCCCCCTATCTGAGTCAGTTTTATCTTTCGTTGTAGGCTCTGTATACTCGTTTCTTAAACCAACGAGATAAGGTGTTAGGAGTGGCTGGCGTGCTAGTTTTGCCCGTATGATGACACAAAAACATAGCCCTTTGATTAAAACGTAAGGACTCATGCGCTCGTAGTGCAAAATGGCTCTTACCAGACACAAAGCCATCTCCAGTGTATTATTGAGTTCAACCTGTCTCGTGAAGGAAGGTATGATAATATCAGTAGCCTCCTGATGCAATGGTTGATTCTTGGCCCTGAATTCCGGCACCGTTCTCAGTATTATTTTGCCTGAAAGGACCCAAGTTAGCCTGTCATTAAAGGAGAGGGCTGCTAGCTCACTTACCTTCCTTCCCGAGGCTAAAGCCAATTGGACATAGTGTCTTTCTAGACCACACCTCCAATGATGCTTTACTCATTAGTTAATAAAGGGCATGTCTGTAAGAATCCAGCACCTTGGATAAAGACCAGTCTGGCTGGGTTCTTGGGCTCCTTGGACCCTGCTTTCTAGTTAAGCCCTTCATGAAAGCTTCAATTCCGGGCAATTCAGAAATGCTTAACACCAAACTAATATGCAATACTGAATTCAGAGACACACGCTGACATTTCTTATTGTGTCTGCTTCCAACTTCTTTGTATCAAACAAATATGAAAAGTAGTTTGTCAGGTCTGGAATAGTGGGATAGAGTGGATGCAAGTTTATTTCACAACACCAAGCTCTGTATGCCCTCTAGTGGTACAACCCAGTTGTGGATTCTCTGACTTGTCTACACATACGTTATGATACCTTGTCTGAAAATCCGCGCAGTCTGTACAATTGCTTGATAGCCTCTATGCGTGTAACTGGTACAAGGTGGGGCTTCCCAGGATGCAATTGGGCTGATGATGTAAGCCGGGTTGTGATAGCAACTGGGGGTCGTGAGGCAGCTCTCTGGGGGTAATTCACTAGCATTGTCAAAAGAAGTGGAAACCAAACCCGGGAGGGCCAGTTGGGAGCAATCAGGGTTAACTTGACATTCCTGGTTGATCGCAATTTCCGTAACACTGCATGAATCAGGGGAAATGGCGGAAAAGCGTAAGCGTGCCAATTCGTGTGGTCTCAGTGACATGAATATCAGCTTCTTTTGTTTTGGTATGTCGCAAATAGGTCTGGCCAAATCATGAACAGTAGATTGTAAATTCTCTGAGGTATTTGCCATTCGGTGTCTTTGAAATGCCGTTGCCTTGACAACGCATCCACTACACTGTTCTGAATGCCCGGAAGGTGTAAGGCTATCAATATAATTTCCTTTTTCACATACCACATCAGTATTTCCCCTGCTAACGCATTCAGTGACAATAACCTTGTCCTCCCCCTCCTTGTTGAGGTAAGTCACTGTGGTCATGTTGTCGCATCTGATCATGACTGACTTGCCTCACCTTGGGGAGAAAATACTGGAGTGCTAACTTGACGGCAGTCATTTCTGGCCAATTTATATGCTGAATGGCCTGGTGCGATGACCATAGGTCCTGTACAGTCATATCCATCAGATGAGCACCCCACCCTGTTCCTGACGCATCTGTTATTATCATCATCATCGGTTTCATTGCCTCGAACGGAACACCTATCATTAGGTTTTCTTCAAATCCCCACCACGGTAGGGCCGTTCGACATGCAGGGGACATCTTCACTCAGTGGCCGAGTGGTGGGGCTGTTGCATGAATTCTGCGGTATTTTCGCATCCATCAATAGTCTCTGAATAGGTCTCGATCGCAGTGGTACCAGCCCCCCTCATTGACGCCATCCTCCCAATCAGTTTCATTAAGTCTCTGAAAGAGGTATGCGACCCCCTCAGAACTAATGCTATCATCTTTACCATAGCTTTGCACCATCTAGGAGATGGCTTGTACATGGCTTTTGCCGTGTCTATTTCCATGCCCATAAATATCATTTTCTGAGTTGGCGTCAATTCGGACTTCTCCCAGTTGATCAAAAACCCAAAGCTCTGTAAGGTTTGACTTGTCAACTGGGTATTCTGCTTCGCATCTACCCTTGGATATGCTTTTACTAGCCAATCGTCTAGGTAGGGGCTCAGATATACTGTGCTCTGGTGTAATACTGACACTACTGTTCCTAGGATTTTTGTGAATACATATGAAGCCGATTTGAGACCGAATGGGAGAGATCTGCACTGATAAGTTGTCCCTCCTATTGTGAACCTTAACAGGTTCTGACTCTGAGGATGTATCCCTGTATGGTGATATGCATTTCTCAGGTCCAACGAAGTTAGCCATTATTCCATGTGTAGACTCACTCGTATGGCAGCTGGTGTCATCATTCTTAACTTGTCTGCTATAACAAACCTGTTGAGTGGTTTTAAGTTCATCACCAACCGATAACCACCTGAAGATTTCTCGACTAGAAATACTCTGGAGTGGAAACCGGGCTCTGATAGCTTCTTTACCGGAAACGCCGCGCCTGTCAACACAAGCTCGTTTACCAACTGTAACAGAGCTTCCCATTTGACCTTGTTCCTGGGGAGAGGGGTACACAAGCCATGACTGGGAATTAAATTGGGTTACCTTGTCAATGGTATTTTGTAACCAAAACGGACTGTGTTTAAAACCCACTCGCCCTTTATTATTTTTTTCCATACTGAGAATCTCTCCCTTAAGCGGAAAGCAATCGGTTTCTAAAATATTGACTGTTTTGCTAACAGCGCCCACATCGACAATCTTGGGCTCATTAGTGTATTCGACGATTGGGAACGCATCCATCCCGCCTGGGTGAATTTCCGAATGCCCCGATTTGTTTTGATCGATTGTGGGACATTGACATAAGATCACCTTGGAAATAATCTTCTGCTCTGACAGACTTTATGCCTGGAAATAGCCCTGAAGAAGGCTTTTGAGGTACATTTAACCCTGTTACACATAAATGATTTACACAATAAACAATATGATCGTTTCCTGAATTTATTCTTAATAATTCGTAAGACATTTAGTCAGGATGATTCTTTATTAGCTGGTGGCACTTTCGAGTCGGTATATCTTTTCTCAGAATTGCCACCGGCACCCTTACCTCGACATCTAGGTCGGTA